CATTTTAAAAAGAGTTCGTGTTATTCTCATTCTATAGATGATAAAATTCTAGATTAGAAAGATTAAGTAACTACCCCAATGTAGCTTCTCCAGAAAGTGGCTGGGAACTATGATTTAAAAACAGCTCTATATGACTTCCAAATTCATGAATTTTTAAAAAATTGTTTGCTTAGTTTTGTTCTCTCCCTTGCCCGGGTCCTTCCTACAAGATGTTTTTCTTTTTTTTTTTTTTTAATTTTTTTTTAAGATTTTATTTATCTATTTGAAAGACAGAGATCACAGGTAGGCAGAGAGGCAGGCAGAGAGAGAGGGGAAGCAGGCTCCCCACTGAGCAGAGAGCCCAATGTGGGGCTCGATCCCAGGACCCTGAGACCATGACCTGAGCCGAAGGCAGAGGCTTAACCCACTGAGCCACCCAGGCGCCCCCCTACAAAATGTTTTTGAAAGCATTGAAAGGAATTATTGTAGAACACTTCCTCAAAGGAGATGATATTATAAAGCAAAACTAAGCGTAGACATCTTATAAATTTGGTTACTAAGGGGTCTTAGAGTTAAGTTAGCCCCCTAATTAACTGTTTGGGAGAACAAAGGTCCTGACAAAGTTTCAGAGTTAATTAGTGAAGAACCAACGTTTGAAAATCCTGATATTCCATGTAAACACTGTTCTCACAGCATTCAAATGCTCACATTTTCACATACATCAAATGCTCACAATTTCACATACATCAAAAATATATGTTTAAACACAGTCCGAGTATTTTAATAAAAACTTTCTAGAGGCCACTAGAATGATGACAAACATTTTCCCTCTTAATTTTAACTAAAATTTTGTTGGTATTTTCCATTATACAAAAAAGGTAGAAGTATTATATACAGACAAAAATACATTTTAGAACTCTAATTATTACCAGGAATAATCAGGGATATGTCTGTATCTAATAATAGAAATTTTTAAAAATGAAGTAAAAACTGATCTGAAAAGAGAAATAGACAAATCCATAATTATAGTTGGAGAGTTCATTTTCTTCTGTCAGTAACTGAAGGAACAAGTAGAAAGAAAATCAGTAAGGATATAGAAAACATAACAAACCATCAACTGATTGAATCTAATTGGCATTAATAAAACATTCAATGTGACAAAAACAGAATATGCATTATTTTCTTTGTAGGCTATAGTCAGTGCCATAAAACAAGTTTTAATAGTTTTTTAGAGAACCTGAGGTATATTATGTATGTTCTTTGACAACAAGAGACTGAGTCAAAGACCCACAACATAAAGATATATAAAAAACAAATATCCTCAAATTACACAACATATTTCTAAATAACTTGTGAGTAAATAAAAAATAAGGGGAGCAATTGGAAGACATTTTGAACTGACTGAAAATCAGAACACATTTTATCAACATATGCAGAACACTGCTACACAGTGTACCAAGGGAAATTTGTAGCATAACTGGTTATATTAGGAAAAAAGTTCTCAAATCAGTGACCTATGTTTCCATGTTAAGAATTTCCAAAAAGAAGAGCAAACTAAACACAAAGCAAGAAGAAATAAGACAATTTCATTTTAAAGCATATACCAAAGAAATATTAGACAGAATAATAATAATAAAAATAACAAAACCAAAGCTGATTTTTAAACAGATCAATAAAAAAGGAAAAAGTTCATCTCCACATGGATCAGTCAGAACATAAAGGAAGTAGACACAAATTATCAATTCCATAAATGAAGTAAAGAACATTACTACAGATCCTACAGACATAGTGAGGATAGTAAGGTAATACTAGAGAAAACTTCATGTCAATAACTTGCATATCTTAAGATTCATAATCTGAATTACTAAGTGAAAAAATAATCTTATTTTAAGAATCTGCCTCATTTTAAAACAGAAACAATACTTAACACATTTAACTTAGAATCACATTTTATCTTTTAAAATATAGACAGTATTTCCATTTTTCTCAAGCTCAAAGACTTTTTGTAAAATGATGTGCAACTGATACCTATTATCACATTGTACAGTATTTACTTCTGGCTTTGCAAAATACTAGTGCTAAAATCCCTATTGGATAAAGGCAAAATCATCTCAACAATGCTTTTCCCTTGTATATTAACAAGCAGCACAAATTTGTCTATTGTGCATAAGTAGCCTTGACTTTCCTTATGATCCTTATAGATTCCAAAGATTTTCTGAGGAAAAAAAAATACAATTACAATAATGCTATGAAATATGATTCTGTCAAACTGGATTTTTTTCTTAATAAAAATTCAACTTAATCAAAAAGTCTTTGCATGAACCTTATATTTATTTGAAAAGCTATTTGGCATAAAAATTAGAATGATAACAATTATAAAACGTAGCATTTAATAGGAATCACAGTTCTTTAACATTCAAGATTTAGCTGGTACAAATGTAACTAATTAATAACATCTGAAGTACATTCTCCCAGAGGACTGATGACCATCTGGTTGACCTTGCACTAGATCAATAGAGAAGGCAAATCTGTAAATCATTGTTTCTCAAATGTTATCAGTCCATCACTCTACCACAAGAGGAAGGGATAAAACTTGGATGGGAGAAGAGATCTCTTGTTTCACACATTTTTAAATTGACTTCGATTGTTAATTGAACTGTAAGACAAGACTGAGAGGATTCTTCTGAAGTCCCATACAGAAAGAGAATGTCAGAAGACCAAGTAATAGTGAAGGAAAAGAATTCAAGACAAAAGAGTTAGGAGGCAAGGTAATTATGAGAGAATATAAAGAGGCAAATGACCTCTGTGTGATATAAGCTGATATTATTTTAATTTCTTCAGAATCATTTTCCAACTCATAAATTTTGGCTGAAAAATAGTGACAGAAATTTTGAAAGAAATGAAATAAGTATATATCATATATATTTTAATTAATATATAGTCATATATGTGTCAACTCTGTAAAAGTTCTATATTTTAATGTTAAGAGTAAATAATTTTGGAAGAATTGTAGTTACTCATTGTGATACACAGAAAAGTCATCATAAAATCAATGAGAAACTTAAAATAATAAGAAATTTGGGAAAGGCACCTGAACAAAATGATTATGAATTAATGATTAAAATTTATACATTTTAACAACTGTTTTGTCCAAGGAATTTTTTCTATGATACTATGCCTAAAATATAGTTTACTGTAGGAATCTTTTGTATTAATTTAGAAATTATGGAATTTCATTATTTGCTCTCCCTGTTGATATATCTCTTTAAAACAAATTATGTGATATTCTGTTTGATTATTTCCTAGAAAGAATAAAATATTATAGAACTCTCAGATCAATAGCTTATCTTATCATGCTGTATTCTACATATGTTATAAATTAAGGTAAGTCTTATTCTGCAAGAATCTGTTTTGAGTTTGAGAGCATTAAACATGGAGTATTTTAAAAAGCCCATCGTAACTTCTAGTCACTTTATACACAGCAGTTACTGTCCCACTTAGTACTGAAGTTTGGTTTTAAAAATTTATACTGCTTAGGGGTGCTTGGGTGGCTCAGTGGGTTAAAGCCTCTGCCTTCAGCTCAGGTCATGATCTCAGGGTCCTGGGATCGAGCCCCCCCATCGGGCACTCTGCTCAGCGGAAAGGCTGCTTCCTCCTCCTTCTCTCTCTCTGACTGATTCTCTGCCTACTTGTGATCTCTGTCAAATAAATAAATAAAATCTTTAAAAAAAATTTTATACTACTTAATTTCCTCTATAAAAGATAAACTAAAGTTTTCAAATAATGGACTTGATGGATTATCTCTGGTGACACACTTGTTTTTGAAATTTACACATTTTGAGTTAAGTTTGGGGTAAAAAAAATTTTTGGTTAGTTTTGATGTAACAGAACAAGTTTAGATAACGAATCTGAGACCACTCCATCTTCCTACGTATATTGAGAGAAATATAGAAGAGAAAAATTGCACTACCACCTAATGCTTTTATTTTTTGTTTGATTAGATATTTCCTAGTTCTCAACTTGAAAGAAAAGGTATAAGTAGACTGATGTTATAGTAATTAAAAAAAAAAAAAAGACACTTCCAAGGGTCTGCGAAAGAAAGAAAAAAGATACCCATTTGACTGATAAGTGTCAGTCATCTGCTCTTTGAAATTCAAGATAATAAAGCTTTTCAAAGACATGCTATAGAAAGGTCTGAGAGTATACTGTTTCTCAAGTAAAATGAAAATATGCTCAATGACACTAAGGTTTATACAAAAAGTTGAAAAAAGTAATAAAGTAATAAACTAAATAACCCTGATTGGCAAGATGATCTTCTTGATCCATTTCTTATTCTTGTCCAATTAGCATGGACTGACCAAAGTCATCCATCTATAAGTTGTTTGAATTATTTAGATTAAAACTCATGCATACATTTGGCAAACCATTCCCTCAGAGGGTCTTACACCTTTTATGTTTGAGCAAATTTGAAATCACATCCATTTTCCTAAGCTTCTGAAGATAATATTTGTACACAACAGCAATTAAAAACATATTTCCAACTATTCTTTTAGATCCTTTTCAATTAATTAGGAGATTTTGCCAATCTCAGGAACTCCTCCTTTTGGACATGGAAGAAGCACCATTAGAACAACATATGGAGGAACCAGTTTGGAGGGTAAGACCAAAATTTATTAAGAAAATTTTTAAATAATTAAGCCTACATAGACCTCTCTGCTGATAAGGATTAGCACACAGCGGGTGCTTCTCAAACACCAGGTGACTAGAAAGAAGATACTTCAAAACAGGAAGAAAATATTTCAAGCATTTTCATCGACAAATACAATAAGGGCTTTTTTCTATGAACCAATAATTTCAAATAGCCATGTCATCCAAAAAAGCAGTCCAGTAAATATTTTCAAAATTAATCAATAGTCGATACTTTACTATCTTTAATTTAGTATTAATATTTGGATCTGAATGTGAAATATTAAAAAAGTTTTCAAATGACATTTTCCCATAGTATTTATCAACTTTCTTACCATCAAACGTTAAATAAACTCTTGCTTGGGGCTGAGACGATCCTTTTACACAGATAGAACAAACAAATACTCCAACCAACATGAAAACTGCCCGGAATGCCATATCTTCAGATTTGCAAGTTATTATCCAAGGGAAAATACCTTTAAAAGAGAGGTAACAAGTTTGTCTTATTTCATTTTACATTTTAGGAGCACACCTGTGCACATACTCAGAGATAACACACAAAACCAGCAATCTAGACAGAGCACCTTATTCACAGAAGACATACCTGAACTTTGACAGTCATGCAAACAGTAGGAGGTGCTCTGACTTTGTTCCTTAGATGTGAAAATTTGGATTTGATTCATTTGTATCTGGAAATCTTTGGGAGAAAAGAAACTGCTTGCTCTTCCAACAAATAATGCTAATGTTAAAGCAGAACAAAGCAGCCAGGAAAAAGGTATTGGTTCCCAAAGAAAAATCCAATATTTAAAGTTGATCTTCTAACAATCACTGAACATTGAAAAGACTTGAGAATGGTACCAATATGTATTAGTGGATGAAAACTTCTCTTCCTACCATAAATATAGTAGTAGCAGGAAAATGCCACATGAACATTCACATGCACCCACTCACTTCCATCCTCATTAGCTCTTTTGGAGTAATCATCTGAGATGATGTTTTTACACATAAATATATGTGTACTCAATCCTTGACCAGTGAAATCACTCAAATTAGTTATCTGACAATTTATACAGATGATCATGCAGCTGTTAAATGATGCAGATGAGGTAACCATGGACTAGTGCCAAATTCAAACCAATGACATAGTGGTGAACAATCCAGTGAACTATGTATCCCTCAATGCATATTTAAAATAAATCAACTAGAAAGCAGGCTGTCAAAATTCCAAAAGATAAATCAGAGAGAAAAGCATTACCTTTTGAGACTGTAGCTATAACATTGATACATGCTATTAACTAATGTCTGAATACCAAGGAAGATCAGGTAATGGGTAACTAGAGAGTCACAGCAGCTCCACTGGCCACAATATGCAAAATAAACCCAAGACCATGAAAGAAATCATATAATTTTGAGTCTGATATAATTATACAATAAAATGACAGAGTTTAATCTAGAAATTTATTTTTACAGGTTACAATAATTCTCATCTTCACTATTATGTATCTTTTAATATTAAAATCTTAACATTATTTTATTTAATAAAGAAAGGCCACAAAAAATTGAAAAGACTGCCTCATGAACACAGAAGAAAAAGCACAGTTAAATTAAACATGCATTTTTAAACAATTTAAACATCTTAAACAGTTGATTTCCTAGGTGGTACATATGTTATGAGACACAGAAACAAAACTGTTTGCCTCTTTTACCACACAGATGGAGGAAACCCTAGAGATGTTTGTGTTGGTAATTTTCAAATGAAACAGTTTCTTCCTGCTTCCACAACCTCTTCACCTTGTCATCCCTAAATTAACTTACAAGAAAATTGATTTTATGGGATAACTTTCCCTTAGTAATTTGCTCCCTGGTTTTGTGGCTTAAGAGTTAAAAAAAAAAAAAAAGGGGCTATAAATACGACTAACCTTTGTCTCGTTATTAAGCAGGAGGATAATATTTACACATTTTTACATATTGCTATTATTAGTATTTTATCTGGTATGTTTCACCAAAAGTAACATATGCTAAAAATTGCAAAGAATTAATAGTGGAGATGAAATGACAAGTCAAATGAAGTGAGTATACATAGCAATGTGATTTCAAGACTACCTGGAGATGAGAAGTGAGGGAAAGCCAAGGGTCTTACACGTGCGTTCCCCCCCCCCCCAATATATTATAACTTCCCTTTAACTGAGACACTTAGACATGCTGCTTGTTTTCACTTCTACGGATTCAACACTAATAACATGCCGGACAAGGAATCTTAACGTCCTCTCGAGCAACCCTGCATTAGAAGGCACTGAAATACTCAACTTTAAACTCGCCGCAGGTGTCATAACCTAAAGAAACAACTCAAGCAGGACTCTCAGCAAGGGAAACACCGCCCTGACAAACTGCATGTGCTCTTAGGAAAATGTCCAGACTTGAGCACACCGATGTGTAAAAAAAGTCGGTACACGGAACCAAAAGTTATATTTTGTTAAATCTGTAATGCCGAAAATAATGACTCCAGCTTACCGAGATGGGAAGAGATCGGCGCGTAAAGTCATCAATTTGCTACCGGTGTGGCTCCGCGTGTCTCTCTAGTCTTTTTCCCAGAAGACTTTAATTTCTAGAGCGTCCCAGCGGTGAAATTCTTTCTTCCCGGTCCTCTGAGTTTCTTTGTAAAGGAATCCTGAACGTCGCAGTGCTGTGGCACCCGGAGCCCTACTCCGCGTCGCTCAATCAAGGACTTCGGAGTGAATGGAAAGTGGCCGGGCACGGGGGGCGAGCGCTCGGGTGTCCGATTACAGCGACGCGGCGAGCGTGTCGGGCTGCCCGGGCGCACCGCCCAGCCGGCTAGCCTCACCCTCCCAGCACACCCGCTGCATCTCAGCCGCCGCGAGGCCCCACCCAGATCACGCCCGCGAGAGGGTGGCAGGGAGCCCCGAGGGCGGGCGGCAATCCGCCCGACGGGCGGGGCCGACCCCAGGACCGGCTGCCGGGAGATTCAGGAATGCGCGCTGCAGGCTGGAGGACCAGCTCGCTAACTCTGCTCCTTCCGCGGTCCGCGGTGGAGTGAGCAACTCCTAGGGTGAGCTCCAAGGATTTTGTTACCGGCAGCTCTTGGAAGGCATTCAGGATTTGCTTAGCCGTAAATATCAAAGTGCAAAGCAGTTTTTTTTCCCCCCAGAAAAGGATCACTGCATCCTTTTAAGGCAAAGAGATGCGTTTGTAAAAGGGCATGAGTCTTATCCTTTTCCTGCAGCAGATTTTCTAAAACCGGTAGAGATAAACCAACTATCTCATCGCAGTTTACCCTTTTAATGGGTGGTGTTTTCCATTGCGTTTCCTTAATATCCCGAAGGCAGTAACTCTGTTGACCTCTACACATTGACTCATATTCAGAACACTTCCCTCCAGGGTAGTCTCAAAACATAATTACAAGAAATTATTTCACAATTCTGTGGAAGAAGGCTGTTTGAATTATGGCAACAGATAGAAGTGTACAAATCTAGACATTAGGGTTATATTTCCAACACTACTTTCAGGAAAACTTGTTACACTTTGGAATTGACTTTAATATTTAAGTGAAAATTATTTCTTTGGACCGCAGTGGACTAGATATTTAAACAGGAGGACAAATGAACTTTGACACCCCCCCCCCAATAAAATGAGCAGGTATTGTTTAAAAATAAATCACTGTGGGCTATAACAGCCCACAGATGTCACTATACAAAGAATATGGAATGTGATTTCTCCATCTTGTTCCTTATAATTTTCTTTATGAAATAAAGCAGATCACTAAATTCTTACAAACTGAATCACAGAAAATACTTCTGAGAGTGCAAAATCATTGCTGGTGTGGGCCAGTTGAATTAAATATCAGGTGAGAGGAAGTGAACAGGTGATTAAGACATATCTTTCAAGCACTACCTGTTATGTCCAGTTGGCATAAACCTGTCTTTAACTCTTTCTGTACAGATGAGCTATGAAGGGATGATATAAAATGTAATTTTAAGAGTTCAAAAGGATGCAAATTTCAAAACTAAATTATATTTCAGGGCAAAAGTTATCTTCAAATGTCTATGTTTATGAAAGAAATTGCTAATTCAATGGATGGGTTATTTTTTAAAGTTTAATACAGTTAAACTATTTTTGTGATTAGTGCAATAAGTGTGAATAGCTCCTTAAGTTTATGATAATGAATTTAACCACAAAACATCTGACAGTTTTAAAGAGCAGATGCAAACATGAAGAAGCACCAAGCACATTTCTCTGAAATAATTCTGAAACCGATCAAGACCCTCTATATTGAGCACTAATGTCTGAGTCAGCATTTATCAATTAAGGAGGGAGGAGAGTAAATCATTAGAAAGAAGATTGCTGTGAGCATTCACATAAATTATATAATTGTTAATTTAGAAATGTGTAACCATTAGACACTGATTGATCTGTACATCTGTATAAAGTAGAATATATTTATACATTTTACCTTTAAGTTTCAGGGAACCCAGATAAAGGCAAGGTGAAATGCATATCAAATGGTGTTTTTACAAGAAAGTTCACTACTATCTCAATTTTCAAATATCCAAAGGATTAAATCCATGTTTCACACATGTTCACAAGGTTTTGGAAACTATGACAAATAGCTTAGATTTAGTTGTAGTCTATGCAACTTATACTGTGATTCCCTCTACCTTGCCTAAATAAACTTCTTTTCAATGTATTTAACTGAACGCTATTTGCTTAATACTGAGACATTTACCACTGGACTCACCTCAAAATAAGTCATGAAATTACTGATAGGCATTAGCCAAGGCAGATTCAAGCACACTGATGAAATGAATGCTCATGCTTGCCTGAAACTTGGGCTGTATAAGTGAAATTTTAAGAGTGGCATTAGTTGCCCCTAGTAAGACTCATCTTTACCCCCATTTCTCCAAACTACTTAGAAATCTAAACCACCTTAATGCAACAGTACCTTTATAAGAAACTTTGGTGGCCAGCGCCACTTCTCCAGGATGAGTTTTTGACTCTTTTCTGATAGGAGGGAAATAATATGAGCTAACTGAGCAAGCTAGTTTGGGAAAGGAGGACACTAAATAGAGGCACAGGAGTAATGACACAATTCAATGTAGAGGCCACTAATTACAGTTTGCCCTCATCAAGGTGTCTTGGGAAAAACATCCAACTTAAAATACTTAGAGTCACTTTTATTAAGATGTTAAAGAAACATCTTATACACTGAGGTTGCTTTGCTCAAGTGGCCTTATTTTAAATATTTTATATTTAATTAATATTAAATATTTTATATTTTTGGTGATCCTGAAAAAAAGCCATTTACTTTAAGCTCCTGCACCGATTTCCAGCAATGTACCCAACTATTCCTTACGAGTTGGGCAGCTATGAATTCTCTTGTTTCAAATTTAAAGAAAATAGACCATTCTTGTATTTTTCTCCATCATATAGATGCTCTATATGAATCCACTTCATCTAACAAGAGAACCTCAATCCTCCAGAGATCAAAAGTTGTTTCCTTATTGTCATAACTAATATTTGTCTCAGGAAACAAATATATAGACCGTATACATTCCAAGCCCTTTGTGTATTATGAGCAGCATTCTTTAATTACGTTACTATCTCACAAATGAGAACACTGAAACTTTGTCCAAAGTCACACATGGATAGTAAATACTGGAACAGAAAGAGAAACTCAAGCATGACTGACTCACTGCCTTAGGGTCTTGAATATGAACCTGAGCAAGTGTTTCCTCTTGATCTTCCTCCTCATCTCAACTTCCAGATGCTAGCACTTTAAAATTCCTGAACTGTATCTTTGAAAATCTCTACTTCAAATGCTTATTTACTTTGTTTACATCAGCCTTTCTTCTCCTCCAGTTACCTTAGCCACTCTGGGACCAAGCTGGTCAAACAGGTCTGGCCTCGAAATCTGTGTGTGCAATTACTCTCTGCATAGTTGATAACGCTTTAGTATTTCCTTCATTAAGATCATTCTTTATTTTACAGTAGGATGACTGTATCTCTTTCATTCTTAACACATTGCTAATTTATATCCCTGACCCTTGATCTCTTTCTCTGTTGAATAGGTACTAGACTAAGCTTCTCAATCTGTAGGGTCACTGGCATTAAGCAAACAAATAAAACAGTCTTGGAGAGGAAAACTGGCCAGAGAGAGAATTTTCATTGTTTCCCTCTTTTCACCTTTGTAATTTTAAACCAGGTGAACTATAAGCTCTTAACAAAATTCAAAGTTTAATTCAGCATTTTTTAAATACCTTTCAACATCTCAAACATCATGAAGTGCTGTATTTCAACCAAAATAAGAGCACATCATTTCTTATGTTTACATATTATAATATTTCAAATGTAAAAATAGAATTATAAAGAATTTCAGTAGAAATGTCTATTAGTGATTTTACTTTTTTGGTATTTTCACCTGACCAAGTCCTAGGAGTATTGCGATCACTCACCCTTTTCTGACAGGTGTAAAATGAAAACTCTGTTTTGTCTTTATTATAACATTTCATGTGAACCTCTATGGGGGAATATATGTCTTTTTTTTTTTTTTAAGATTCTTTTTATTTATTTGACAGACAGAGATCACAAGTAGGCAGAGAGGCAGGCAGAGAGAGAGGGGGAAGCAGACTCCCCACCAAGCAGAGAGCCTGACGTGGGGCTTGATCACAGGACCCTGAGATCATGACCTGAGCCAAAGGCAGAGGCTTTAACCACTGAGCCACCCAGGCACCCCAGGAACATATATCTTTAAGATGAACCTTACAACTACAGTTGCAAAGTAACCCACCGTTATTTAATAGATAATGTTTATTAGTTGAATATATATAGTGCATCCCCAGTAAGATTTCTTTAAAGAAAGGCAAACTGTTTTTATGGCCCTCTTATATCTAAAGCTCTCTTTCTCTCTTCACCTGGGAGTACAAAACCGCTTCCATTTTATTCTCACAGGAGAGCCAGGACAGGGCTATGTAAGTGCCTCTGATTGTCAGCTGTGTGTAATGAGGCTCAAAAATAATAACCAGCTGGAGTAATGAATTCAGGACTGTTAGTTACGGCTAATTGACTCCCATCTACAGCCCTTCAACATGGTCAAAGGCCTTTTCCATGTAGTCTTCAGATTTTACTATTTGTCTACTCTTTGCAGACTTTAAATGGTTAACTAGAAAGTAGAGAATTAAATTGTGTAAACAGCAACTTCCACATCCTAGTAGAGGCACTCTCATGATGAAAATCATATGATAAATTCAGTTGTCTTCTTTAACCAGTAATTTCAAGAAGATAGAGCTGTATAGTAAATTTGAAAAGGATCAACTCCTTATTTTACTTACTTATTTTTTGTCACTATACTTAATGCTTTGAAATTCCAGGTGATATTTAACAACTCTAAAGAAGAATATATAATTTTTACTTTTTAACAAACATAAGTTAAAACATGCAACTCTCAAGATACATTTCAATGAAATAATTTTCCTTGATGGACTGTGTCCATTGCAATGAGCTCATTGAAATTCAGATGGGGTGGGGTGAGGGGGTTAGTATGCTCAAAAGAGCATGCATTATTTATTAAATATGTTACAAAGAGTACTTCTTTTAGTATTTAAAAAAATAGATATAAGTATCTCCATTGTGAGAACAAGAAGGCCAGTTCAGAAATTTGAGGCACCATTCCCCTTCCTAAGCCCACCCCCGAGGCAATGAATTCAGATCTGCCTGTTCCAGAGTCCATATATTTCCTGTTTTTCACTGCTTTTGCGCATCAATCTAATAGTCCAATAAATAGGAAGGGGAAGCGGAGACCCTTACCTCTTCTAAGGTAAGAAGGTTTTCTGTTATTGTTGGACACTTGTAACACTTAGTCTCAGAGATCTGAATGATAAATGCAGACATCCCATCTTCATCATGAAATTCTAGACAGCTTGAGAGCAAGTCACTGTCTAATCCTCCTTGGTATCTGTCAGAATGCCAGAACTCTGATGATTAATGAACAGACTGGCATATAGCTG